TGGGCGGAAGTCTGGAGCCCACGAAGGAGGAGGATGCCTTGAGCCCTAGGTTTAGGTTTTTCGGGCCTAGGTTTATCGGGCTAAGGATTAATTAGAACAAGCAAACTGTCCCGAAACCTGTAGAGTCTGATCTCTGAGGCTGTTCTCCTGAACTTTCCCAATTGGCCTAAATTCTGGATCCGCTCTGCATACTGCAGCCTACAAGTGTGGGCTAGAAACACGAAAAAGGGGGCCGAATTTGGGGAAGGCCGGGGGGGGGGGGGGGGGGGGGGGGGCGGGGGAGAACCGTCTATTCCTGGCCTGGCTCGTCTTTTTCGGGTATGGCTTGCCTCCATATCCAGTCTCCTGCAAGCAAGAAGCCTAAACCTATGAAACCCTGAACCTCCAAAAGCCTAAGCCCTACAATGAGCACTGAACCCACAAATCTTGCGGACCCTCATAAGGTTCGGGACCTGCCCAGCATACAAGCCGGAGGAGGAATCCCGAAATCGGTAGGGTTCGGGGTTTCGGGCTGGGGGTTGAGCCATCAGCCCCATAAGTTCTGGGGGTTGGGCAGGATACGCCGGGTTGGGCGCGCTCCAGGGATTCTCTACAAAAAATGCTCTGAGGGGTTGGGCGCCTTCCAGGTATTCTCTGGGCGATGCTCCGGGGATACTCCGGGGTTGGGCACTCCCGGGATTGTCTGGTAAGGACACTATTTCGGGATAGTCTAGGGTTGGGCACTCCCGGGATTGTCTGGGGATACTCTAAAGTTGGCTCCACGGATTCTCTGGGGGATACTTTGAGGTTGGGCACCGTGGAAATCCTCTGCGAAGATTTGGGGTTGGGCACAGGGATTCTTTGAAAAAACGCCGGGCTGGGCGCACTCCAGGGATTCTCTGGGGTTGGGCTCGCCAGAGATGCTCTGAGGTTGGGGATTCGGGAGATGGGCGAGGACTAGACTTGTTTAGTTTAAATCTAACAACCCCACACCGAGGTGTGGGGAAAAGAGCTCTCGTCCTTGTTGAAGAAACGGACAGTTGGCCAACCACCAGACCCTTAGTCAGAGCCCGTTCAAGCAGTCAACTCCCCAGGGCTAGCCGCCTGAAACACTAGTTCTGGACACTTGCCACGTGGCCGAAACTTGAGCTTGGGGTCTGCAGCATGTGTGGCTTGAGCAAATTCTTTAAGAAGTAGACATCGATACAAGAACATGACGACATAACCCCGTCCTGAGCAGCCTCACTCAGATGATTCTCTGATAGCACCCACCCTAATCCCGATCAGCCCGAAAAGATTGCACCCACGGCCCGAATCCAAGTTAACATTTGGTGGAGCGTCCGGGGTTCTGCTGCTCACCGTGGATCTCGCGGACTTGGTTTTTAGACAGCGCGACGTCGCCGAAAACGACATCCGGATGCTTGCCTGGGCTTTCTCTAGAGAGGAAGCGCTACCGTCCAAGGAGCGACACCAAGAAGGGGATCAAAATCGAAACATGCTATACCCCTAAACCCGAAACCCTAAGCCCCTTTTGTGCTTGTTGAGCTGGGACAGAAGCACGACAGCGCCCCGCAGGTTGTCACGACGACCTCCCCAACAGTGGCCTTTTAAAGGGGCACTGTAAGGTTGAGTCTTTTTTGGGCTGTTCGGCTTTCCAAAAGATGCCAAGACAGCTCCAGGAACCAAAGGTCTCAGCAACCGCATTCCAGCTTGGCGCCTGTTTGACTCATCAGCCTGTCAGGGAGCACCACGAGCCGGGACTCAACTTGTACTGCTTTTGAAGAGTGTGGCGGCCTTTTGGAGACTTGGGCCTTAGGGAATTGCGTTTAGGGAAGGTTTGCAGGCCGAGTGGCAATGCGGCATGCTAGTACATTCTTGGAATTTCAATGGGGCAGGGAAACAACTTCCCCATGCCCAATCCCAACAAGCAAATGGTTTGTTAAATCCTATATACCCTGAACACTCCCGAGCCCATATGACTCATCTGATCCCTATGATTCCCCAGGGATTTAGGGTTTAGGGTTTAGGGTTTAGGGTTCCTAGACTTATATAGGGTCGACAGATCAGGGCGCAGAGGTTGTGACGCACATGTTTCGGCAAGCAGACAACTTTCAGAGCGGACGCTTTTCCGGCCTAATGAAGGGGCCCCATCTGAAATGCACCCCCCTAATCCCTCCTAATTATTCCTTTCTTGAAATTGCACGACTCTCACAGGACCCTTGGGCTACTCCAAACCCTGAACCTCATTCTGCAAACAAACCTTTGCAAATTGAGAGCGTGGGATGTGTTGTTTTCGCTCCTCAGCCCTCCGAGGCAATCCAGCGAATGAACACTGTCTTGCCCGCATCCACATTGTCCTGCGCACAGAACGGGTCTTCGTGAGGTATCGTATGACAGTGGCTGGCTAGCATACCAGATATTCCCCAATATGAACTAAATGAGAATGGCTAAGTTCTTGGCGGTTAGCAGAGAAATCTGCCTTCCTGATGTGGATGGTGGCGGGGGGTCTCATCTTGAAAGGCAAGCACCCCACAAAGAATTGTGATCTCCAATTAGATGGGTTGCAGTTCAATTCACAGAACATATACTTTTGTGACAAGTACGTAATTACTATCTGCTTAAAGTTTCGGGGCCCAGGCAGGCAAACTTTGAAAGGGCTTAGGGTTTATAGGTTTAAGGTTTATAAGGCGGTTGGAATTGTCAAGCTGAAAGCTCGCTATCTTTGAATCTTGAAACTTGTCAACAGCAATGCAGCAAGGCCTTCACGAAAGCATCTGCGTTGTCGGCAGTGAGCCTGAAAGACCAAAACATGCTGGGGTGCAAAATCTAAATGATGAGTCCCCTTTCAGGTCTCGCGATTTCCCCCTGTGTGGCAACGCTGTGGGGTTGCAACGCTAAGGGGAAAAGTTGAGGCTATGCCACGGAGTGCCCACCACGGCTGTCGCCTAGGCGCGGCACTGGTTCTGGGTCCAAATCGTACTCGTGCCCGGACGCGGGTTTGACTACGTAGTTGTGCCTTTAGCGTCAGAGTCACAGCTCTCTCCCTCCTAGGTCCCGTGCACATTCTGTGGTCCATATCGCGCTCCCACCCTTGCATCGCTCCGTGTTGCGAAATTGGGGCAAGGGCGTACTTTCCTGCCTCTTGGTTTCTTGGATGTTCGAGCGTCTGGTCCCGTGCGCATGCCCTTGCAGACTCGTCGCTTTTGCCACCTTGGAGCGTTCTTGGAGTGGTCTTAGTTTTTTTTGGAGTGGTCTTGGAATTCAATTTAAAGAAAAAGCATCATGCATCATTAGATTCGCACTTGGACCCTGCCCAACCAGCCATCCTCAGGTGCAACTGCAGACGTGGGTTTCATAACGCTGCATGCACAAAGCGCGACGACGGCCACAGAGCCATGAATCAGTGGTTGTCACGCAGCCTACTTTCCAAAAAGTGTTCCTTGAGAGTTTCCCACCCAGGAATTCCATATACCCGGAACGCATCACTCACAAAACCTCTGGCATGGTTACAAGCATTTTTGCTCCAAGCTGTGTCTATATGGACTGCTAGATTTCGGATTCAAGCCCGTCAAACCCGAGACCTTCAGCCCCAAAACCCGGAACTCTCAAAGCTGCAGCAAGGAGACTCCGTGGAGAAATCCCAATGGTTGTCTGGGTAGATCCCCGCCTGAGCCACCTTTTGGATCGGAATCTTTGCTGTGCCGGTTGAATCCTGGTTTGGTACCCGGGCCTATACATAGGCCTCAGGTTGCGAGAGCACGGGTGCAGAGTTGCTTGAACTTGCTGATTCTGCAACTATCGGGGGAGCTCATCAGCTTATATAGGGGTGGACATACTTTCCGCGAAGTCTACCTTTACCTTCGACTGTTGTAACTTAAAGTCACAAAACTCAGCACGAAGCTTCACACCAAAGGCCTTGCCACAAGCCCCGGCCCAAAGACAACGGAATCCCAAAAGCCCGAACCCAAAGCCTGCACCTCCTAGCTCTCCGATTATTGATGCATAGGGACGGCCAGGCATGGCCCCTTAAGTGTAGGCTGCCCTTCTGGACCTTTCTGTTCAGCAGTAACATGCAGGCTAAGCGGCGCCCAGGAGGAGTGAGAAAAAGCTGAGCCCGCTTGGCAGCGCCATGGTGCACATGGCACTGAGGTTCGGAGGGAAATCGAGGTGTGGAGCCCACATGCACCCGGCGCAGCCATGATGCCCGAGACCGTCTTGGCCGTCTTGAAGCTCGACGAACCCACACCCCAAGGGCCCAAAATCCTAAACCTTTATCGGGCTTTGGGATTCAAAACCCGATTAATTAACGGGGAGTTTAGGCTTGAGGATTCAAGATTTCGAGCTCTGTAGAGCTTAAGAGAGAATGCGAATCCCTAGAAGTCGCCCCATAAACCATCCTGAAGCCTCAGGATGCCGCGTCCACGTGCTCGAGAGAGCCGTCACAGCCTCATTCTGCGTTGAAGCTGCGACAAGTCCCTGAAGCTAAGCCCTTGCTGTTCTTAAGGTTGCTGGAAATGGCACGATGTGCGTACCGCCAACCGGCTGGAGTCGCCGTGGGCAGCCCCGAACCGATGCAAACGATTGGCCCAAAAACTTTAAGCAGAAATTGTTGTCGATGCCCGTTTCGCTTTGTCAAGCTTCTGCCAACTGCAAGCAGAGACTTTCCACGAGATGCCAAAGCAACAGCCAAACACTTTCTAAGAAGAGGATGCCTGTTTGGCTTGTTTGCCTTATGTGCCTTTTCTTCTTTAGACGCTACCTGAAATATGCTGAAATTCAACACTGTACGCTCGCCCCACATAGAATCAGTGTATCTGCCCTTACAACGCGTTCTTATGCTTCCCTTCCAATGTCCGACCTGCATAGCGAATTAAACTTCCCACACATCGGGATATCTCACAACATCACGTGCCCTAGTGCCATGCGGCCAATGGCAATCTCTAATTGAATCTCTAATGTCTTTCATAGAAGGGGTCTCACAGACAGAATGACAGGCTTCGGAGTTGATTTTAGGCTGCATACTACATTCTCTGCTCTTGGCCTGTCGACCTTATAAGCCCATAACCCTTACAAGCTATGGCCCGATAAACCTATAACTCTAAACCCAGGAAGTGGGTTTAGGGTTTAGGGTTTAGGGTTTAGGGTTTAGGGTTCAGGGCTTAGGGTTTAGGGCCCTTTCACTCCCAAGGCGCACCTCGAAGAACGGAAACTTCAAGAGATTTGTGGCAAGGACGGTCCGAAAGAACCGAAGGATGTCGGCCAAGCGTACCTGAAGGCGAGGGTTTTGGGGTTTGGGGGTTTAGGGCCACTTAGGGTGTAGGGTTTGGGGCAGGGTTTGGGGGTTGACAGTTGAGGAGGTTCAGTTGTTGAGGCTTAGGGTTTACAACAACGGTCTTTGGGCTTGGGGATTCAATTTATTCCAGGGCTTCTCGGAACAATATAGATGTTTTTTGTATCAGGTGCTCTGGGACGACCACGCTGTTCACCCCTACATCCTAAACCCTATGAACGATAGTGCCGAACAAACCCTTACATGCCCTACTACCCTTGTGAACCCTAAGCAGAGACAAGGCCCAAACCAAACTCTTCAACATCCCCAAACGTCCTGGAAAGCCCCAGGTTCCTGAGCCCGAGAAACACCGACGAACAAAAACCTCCAAACACGCAACAACCTGGCGCCCATGTAAACGTCCACAGACTGTTCATGGAGAACCTTGAACCTATACTTTTCTGAGACTTCTACGCCCAAGACCCCCAAAACATCTCAAAGTCTCAGTTCTTCCACCCAAATCCGATGCAGAACCAAGGCAAGGTTCAAAACGCCTCACGGATCGCGTCAACCACGCGCAGCCGCTTCACGGCTACGCGGTTGAGCACTGGTTCGCTGAAAGCCTGTGCTCGGAGGACCATGGGCCAAAAACTCTAAACCTCTGAAGCCTTTTTTGTTGCGGGCACTGAAGCCTATAAGGCCTCAAGCTTAGGTCCTGTGCAAAGAAGTCTTGTTTGCTAGAAGACAAGCACTATAATATCAAAGCAATTACTTGGAAATTCTGGTGGGTGATCTGGTATATACATAGCGCTCACGTTTGTAATTCAGTTCTTGTGCATATGCACAGGCGTCGTGGTCAGCTCTGCATGTCATCGTCGAGATCCGTCGGGAAAGCTTTCAAAGGATTAGCAGGGATTTATCCAACAAACACAACACCTAGCGAAACGAGGGGTTCGGACGAACTGCCTCGAGAGTTTTGAAAGCCTTGTGGTCAATTATATTGGAGAAAACCACTCAAAGAAACATCCTCGCGCGTCGAAAGACTTGACCGCAGCTTTCTTTAAACAACATGGAAACTTCACTGGAAAGAAAGGGTGCGAAACGGAAGCGACATGCTGCGTTACAACGCAGCACGCCCTCCTTCCGCGACAATGTTTCAATCCTCCATCACCCCAAGGTACTTCCCGAACCTACAGCCTGCATGGTTGTGGAGGCTTGGGGATCAGCAAGGCCCGGAGAGGGTTCGGATCTACTGCAGGGCGTTGAATTTACGTACAGTTCGGAAGGCCCCCCCACTTCGAGCCTGGAGTAGGGCGGCGACCACGGCACCCATGGCGCCCACGCAGGCCTCACAAGGCTGTCACAAACGTACGTCAAGGCCTGGCAAGGGATGTCAGAGACTCCCTGAAAACCCACGTGGAGCCCTGCCTGGCGCCCTACGCGATGCCAAGTTCCTGCAATGCGTGGGGGGGACAACTTAGAGTTTTGACAGAGTCGTGGATTTCCTTGCAAGGAAGAGTCTCTCTTGTAGCATGTTGGGATGCTATAGGAGCTTCATCAGGGCTTCGAAGGGGTTTCGGGAGATCTTGCAGAAATGAGCGCGCGTGGGGTAACGACATGGGATGTTCGACTAAAAGCGCCGCGGTGCTGATGCCAGCATCTTCCCAACCCCTAAAAGAGATGAACCCTTGCCAGACCCTAGAGCCAAAAGCCCTATAAACCCCAAACCCGAAGCCAAAAAGATCTGAATAAAACTCCGAGGCCTCAATCCCAGGCATCTGTCTCGTATAAGGGCCACAGCTCTGCTAAGGTCTATAATGGGGCCCCTAAGGGCCTTCGAGTCCCCGAGCCCAGTATACCAATAGGTCCAGCCCTAAACCCTAAACGCCGTAAACCCCGAACCCTAGGCCCTAAACCCCTCGGTTTAACAAAACCAAGCTCCAAGAGAGCTCTCAGCAATCTTGGGTTTAGGCCTACGTCCGCCACCACGTTCGGAACCACTCGGCGGCCAACTCGGCCTGCGAACCCTTTCGTATAATACATCTATGTATATGTATATGTACATGTACATGTAAATGTATATGTAAATGTATAGGTCTAGGTCTAGGTATAGGTATACGTATGCGTATACCTATACATATACATAATCCCTTCCCCCTAATATTAAACGGGGGGGCCACCGCCCCCCCCCCCCCCCTAAAAATTCGAAAACTGTTTTTAGAATTAGGGGGTATTCTTATCGAAATGTCATAAGGGCTCTAACCCCTAAACAATTAACCTAGACCCCCAACCCTAAACCCTCTGTGGGTTTTATTGGTGTTGAGGGGTTTATTGGAGGCCTGAACCACCCCCCCAAATTCGGAATTGGGTTTAAAAGGCGGGGTCGGTTTCGGCAGGATTTTCCGGAAAGTGTTTTTATCATTAGGGGTGCATTTAATAAAAGGGGGATGGGATTATACATATACATATACATATACATATACATATACATGTACATATACATGTACATGTACATATACATGTACATGTACATGTACATATACATATACATATACATATACACATACATATACATACATACAGTAATACATGCAGTAATACATACAGTAAAACATACATTAATGCATACATACAGACATACATACGTACGTACATACATACATACATACATACATGCACACATACATGTGTAGGTACATGTATATGTATATGGCGTGCAACGATATGAATGCAGTGTTCGGTAGGTTGGGTTGGATGATGTGGAATGCAAAGACCGTCGGTGCGGCTTGAAGCTCAGGGTGCGTGCGCCACATGACGAACGTACACACCATTTCGTACAAGAAGGAACAAAAAATATGTTGGATGCGCAAACGCTTGGGAGACAAGTTGCGACGATTGGGATTAGGAAGTGCAGCAGGTGTGAACTCAGAAGTTCGCACATTGCACGCTCTGGCCACAGGAGCCTGGACGCGTCTGGTGCGACGACCAAATTCGGCGAGGCCGCAGGGTCTCCTGTGCCAGAAACGTAGCATGGGCTAGCATCGGAATGGAAGAGTGAGGGAAAGTCCATGATGCATGCCGGGTATTGTTAGGGCTTGCACGCTCTTGGATGCTGCAGGGTCTGAGCTGAAGTAACCTGCATTGAGGCAACAAGTCCAAGCGGCGCGAGGAACGAAGGGCACAGAGACCAGCGCTGGTCTCTTCGGGCCTGGCAAGTTTGGGCTCAGGGGCTTGCAGGAAAAAGCCATCGTTGGTAAACGATGGAGATTCCTCATGCCCATGACAGTCCTGCTGGCTCTATCTTCCGACCGGTTTAGGGTTGAGGGTTAGGGGTTGGCTCAGGGCTCTGAAAGTTGAGGAGCTGAGGAGCTTGTGAAGCTTTTTAGAATAGGCACGCCATTCACCTCCCACGCGCCCACCCCCCATGGCCCGCATTCCATCGCAAACTGCAAAGTCTGCTCTTATGTACTGGAACCTCTCACGTCACAACCTCAACCCCAAGCCCTGTGACCCAAGCCTGCGATGTGTCGGGCCGCCGACACTGGGGCGGCATTGACCCAAGGCTCAGGCCAAATCATGCTGAGCAGGGTTGAGGTATTCAGAGTTGCGGATGGCCTATAATCTTTCTGAAGAGTTGGCAAGACCAGGTTCTGTCAACAAGTTCCGATCGTCAGGAGCGTTGCGGGGTGTGGTGATTGGGCATGTTTCGTCTTCAGGCCTTCAAGGTGTTGGCCAAACTTCATGAACTCATCGGCCAAAATGGCTACTGCTTTTCGGGGAATCAGAGGCCCACATCTTCTGCAGTGTACAGTTTTGGAAGACAAGCGGCTTGGGTGTCCGAGTTCCGTATGCTTGGCGAGGGCTGCTGGGGCTAGGGTTCACAAGTTAGGGTGTTTGAGGTCATGTATGACAGGCAACAGGGAAGCATGATACCAAACAGAGATCCACACATGAACGTAATCTTTGCCAACGAGGCTACCACTGACAAACATTAAGTCCAACCTTCACTTCTTCTGCTCTGTGCCTAATTACTCGTCCCTGACCCACATAGGCCGCGCACCGAACAACCTCATGTGAGGATCTAACAAGACGTGTGAGGCCTCTGGCATATTTATGCAGTGCCAACGTGAAGACACTTACAAACTGCCACTTTTTGTTGGCCGCCCTGCCCCCCCCCCCCCCCCCCCCGGCAGTCCCTGCACAGGCACAGCAGGATGTCCTAGTTGTTGGTGCAGTGTAGACCATGCAAGTCAAGCGAGCAAGAACATCAACGGTTGATGGTAACCAAGCAACAGCGTGCATGCTGACAGGCTCCCAAAACACACAACATAGCATTTAACTGCACTAAGCTGAATTGCCAAACGCCCTCGTCAGCGGCTCAACGCAATGTTTTGCATTCAAACCACTCCTGGTCTCGAGCAGCTGTGGATGCAAGCCAGCATGTTGCAAAGAGATCTTGGTCCAAATACCGTTGTTGAAAGACTCATGCAGTTTTCATGATGCATTTAGTAGTTTGACACTCATGCGAACCAACTCGACGACAAGCAGCTGCCAATTCCACAATGCAAGACTCATGCATGGTTGCCGCGTAACCATGCCATGCACATGAACTCATGTCTAAGAATCGCCACCTAGCATCCAGCTTTGTATCGTTGTATGACAATGAATCCCGGCGCAGCTCTTGCTGGCTTCAAGCGTCCAAGTCGACCACGTGCTACGAATTACCATGACAGCAGGGGGTTCTCTATGTTTTGCTTGCTTGCTTATGAGTATCATAGTGATTCTGCTGCCCATGACAATATTTCACACTCATGGAAGTTTCCTGCTACCTGCCGCTGTTTTGGCACCTCCTGTCACAGCTTGCATGGCACGGCTCTCGTGTTCGGATGCGCCCGATCTCGGCTTCACTACCATGCACAGAGGTTTTCCTTCATCAACCAGGATTTCTGTCTTAAGGGCTTCTGATGCAGGTTCTTTTGGCATTTTGTTTTGGTTGGTGGGGCTAAGAACCGTTCTGTTGGCAGTTGCTTTCAAGACTGGCCGGGACCCAAAAAAAACATGCGCAGGCTTCTTACTTCTTATATCACAGAGGCATCAGGCAAGAATCGCCCAATGTGCCAGTTCTGACAGGCAACTCTGTAAAGATTTACTCGCGGAAAAAAAGAAAATCCTACGAGCCAACATAATTAAGCAAATGCGGTTTCTGACTGCTGTCATATCCGAGACCGTGACAGTGCCTGAATTCACCACATAATGTTGCACGAAGCTGAAAGGCTAACTGTGCCATGTGCTTCTTCTTGCTTTACAGGATCGCAGAAATTATGGAACTTAAGTATCCGATCTTGCCCGTTAGTGGTTCTTCCAAACCTCCCATTTGGCGCAGTAGCTGAAACATGAAGGAATTTCAGCTTCAAGCTTCTGAAAGCTCCGATGAACTGTCAAGGAAGGCGAAGGAAAGGCCGCTGCTCCTGCGCCAAAGAACGATTTTCTTTGCATGTAAGGACATGGCTTGCGTGTCACGGTTTTTCCGGGAACCGGTCAAATTTGGGCTGAGAGCCTTTACAGCACGTCAACCCTTTTTTGTGGTGATACGGGACCCAAAGGCCCCTATGCTCCAAACCCCTCTGGGGGCGAGGAGCACATTCCGACCTTGGGATGGTGCAGATGCTTCGAAAAGCCCTTGAAGGGGGCGAGAACTCCTGAAACCAAACCCCAAGTCATATCGAACTTCGAACCTACGCGACATGGCAGTGCTAGCCTTCTTTGACGCGGAATCTACAGGCCCCCTAAACAAGAAACACGCCACATGACATGAGACCTCTTCTCGCTATGCAAACAACAAACCAAGGCTTGAGGTTGGGTGCCCGTGTAACCCGGGGCACATGGGTCTTCAACTTCCCTCATACGTCATCAGGACGCAACGAAGATCAAACAAGGAAGAAGGCGCACAAACGCGCACGTCCTAGAACCCACCACGAAATCCCATGAGAATTCCAACACCTCCCGCCAGCTCAGGCATGGGCCGTGCATGCCCGGCAAATATGAAGCTGGAAGTCTTGGTGCAAGCGCCACCTGTTTTTTGTGTGGCGTACCCCTTTTCCATCTTCAGGGGTGTTTTGAGCAGAGGAACCAGAATTTGGTTTGGTGACGAAGACTCGAAGTTTTCCAAACTTCGGGCTCATGAGCTGAAAGTCCTTGCCGTGCATCTTTGCATGCAGGTTAAACCTGTCAAAACTCGTTGGCCACAACCATGACACCACCGCATATCAATGCATGTATTTCAAAGGTCAGTGCATGCAACATGTCATGGAGTCGTGCTTTAACCGTGCCATGACAATTTGCCGCGGTGCATTGTGCAACCTAAAGCCCAAGTGCCCGAAACCCGCAACTGGTCACGCCTTGCACGGAGGTCGGCTTGGGTCTCGGTGACCTTAGCCAAATCAAACCCTTAATTCAAACCGTTTTCTGGGTTCGGCTTTAATGTTGCAAGGCTGACTTGGTGCTTACCGAATCAGCAGCTTGAGCTGGGCCTCACCTTCAACCGGAAAAAAAACACAGAACTACCTACATCAGAATGCCCAGCGCACCTCCTGGAAGAGCCTCTGGAGAGATGCGTGTAGGCCTACCTGTCATGGCGACGCAATGCAAAAAAGAACCTCAGGTGGATGGGTAGCTAATGTGAGCTCGCGAGGTCGAGCCTTGAGCAAGGATCGCAGCATGATGTAAGTGAACACCTTGGGGTTCGAGAGCTGCACTGACATTTCTACAGCACCAAATCATTCTGAAGCGCGCTCAGGCTCAAAGCTCGCCTTCGGAGCCGCCCTGTGACGAAGTGTGGCAATTTTCGGTCCGCCCTGCCCCCCCCCCCCTCCCAACCTCTTTTTGGTCCAAGGGCCAAGGGTAAGAATCGTCCTCGCACGTGGTTTAACCAGGCGTTAGAGGAAAAGAACTTGCTCTTCGAGCAAATGTGTAATTGGCCTGCGGCGTGGCTCTCGGACGCAAATGCCAAAAGCAACGCGATGCAGTCTCCGCCAACGTTCTGCTTGTCCGATCGGATCATCTCTTTATGGCCCGATGCACCTTTGCAAATCTTCACAGCCATGAAGCATACAAGCTCAGGAAATTGCAAGTGGAAATCTGCAATGCCAGGGGTCCTTGAAAAAACCTGACAGAAAGTCTAAAACTTCTCTACCAACCAGCTGGTCACTTTCATGCGCCGGTGCCGGTACTTTTGGAACCAGTGTACACAAGCTGTGCATTGACAGGGCTGGGCCATGTGGCCAAGCATGGCCATTCACATGTGTGGGACAGCAGCAGCCTCGTTGTCTTCCGCACCTGCTTGGGGAACGGGGGTTCCTCTTTGGTTGCTTTGCCATCTACTTCCTCAAGGCTATCACTACATCCGACTCATATTTGCTCAACCCTGAGCCCAAAAGGTAGCTTTGCATTCTAGTCCGAGCCTTCCTCCTCATCATCTTCTTCTGGCGGCGCGCCGCCCGATGGGCAAATGGTCACAACCGAAAACCTTCGAAGGCGCGGGCAGAGCTTTTGGTTGTGATGTTTGCGAGCTCGGCCTAAAGTACCATACACGCCTGCCCAGGATGAGCCATCCTAAATCTTCCCGAGTAGACGATTTGTGCATTTCACAAAGTTTTGCTGGGGCTAAGCGAGCGAACTTGCAGGCCGGTGTGCATTCGCTCCCAGTCCTCAAAGGACATCCAGAACTGGCCGTCGTTGCGCGACCGCACATCGATGCGCTTGCGCAGCTCCGGATTCTCCTCCTTTGCCAGGGCAGACCATCTTGCAAGTCCTGCTGCTGCCATCCGAAAGCGCCTACGTTTCAGATGTTTGGGGCGTGGCATCACTATAGCGGCCCAAGCTCCGAAACCAGTTGGCGTCAATCTCAAAGTGCCACATTCTTACATGCTTGGCCATCAACCACAACTTTTCGCGTAGACAGCGGCTACTTGCAATTGGGCCTAATCCCTGCACAGCCGTGGTTCGCGAACTTTAGGCCCGGCTCTGAAGGCCACTCTCAGTAGGGCATGAAGGAATGAGCAACCCCAATGCCTTAAAAGGGTATGTATACCTAGTTCCCTCATTTCCTACTAAAACCCAGCAAGAGTTGCCCGGGTTTCAGTGCCTTGCTAAATCACGAAACCCACAATCATTGCCTGCATGCTAGACATTTTTGTGTCGTAGGCTATCATTACGGGCCCTGTGAAGCCTTTTGCGGGGGGCAGGGTGTGGGTCTGCAGCAAAGCGGCCCATCTGCTGCTGCTGTCGCTCCAATCCTGTCGACATCCGTGCACCAGGTTTAGGTCTTCTTTTGACGCCCGCCTCACTGTACGCTCTGCAGGGTTGAAATCGAGGCAACTGTGTGGCACGATCCCCCATGGCAAGCTGCCTCCATCACTCCACCCGCAACTCACATGCCCCATAAGAGGCATCAGACTGTGTTTGGGGTTTAGTTTAGTCGCTCACACAAGGGTGAGCTCCGAGGCTCGAACCCCCTCGCCACAACAACCCTGACCATCCCCCTGACCACACAAATTCGACCGCACCAGCAAATCGACATCGCCCCTTTTTTTAGAAGCCAAAAGCACTGACAGTAAATTCGATGTGACGCCGCTTCAAATGGGTAGTTCGTGATGAGGGTCCCTTTTTGGGTGCCCTGCATATTACGGCACCTTTATGATCAAAACACCAAACGGCACCCCAACTAAACTATATGGAACTACCCAAAAGCAGAACCCGATAATCTCCAACATCTCTCGAAGTGGGCCTTGGTCCATTCCTTGCGACCGTAGGGATTGCGCATCTGGACCTGGCACGCTGGGTGAGACGCAGGGGATGTGGACTCCCAACGACTCCCACATGGCTGGAACTTGCGAAGTCGCTTGTGCACATATATATATATACATGTATGTATATATATATATATATATATATATGCTCTTCCTATGCTACCCGAAACCCTGAACCCTGCGCAGGCTTCTGTATAGAGCTCCCCACTACATCACGCACGACACAGGGGCCGCACCAGCTTGACTGCGGTGCCATCGTCGAGCTGCTCGGAGACAGCAGACAGGATGGAGTAGAAGTGCAGTTTGTACCTGCCCGATGTTCTGGGCTGAGGGCGTGGTGTTGGCCTATAGACTCGTCTTCACAGGGACGATCAGGCTCTCTGAGTTCAACAGGCACTGGTGGCTTTGAACTTTGCTTGAAGCACGGGCATTTGGCATGCCGTTCTGTCTGCATGTCACTCAGCGTCTATGCCCCTCTAAGGGCTTTTACTGCGCACGATGCGAACATGACACTAGTGGCATGTTTTAAGCGACAACAATTCGAAATTCATAACAACCTGTGGCCACAACGGCTGTTCAAAGCCGCATATGCCACTTTTTCTTAAGGCAGCCAGGTTACAAGCCAGACGCCTGGGCTTCCTCCACGCTCTTCGAATTCTCCTCTCCAAGCAAGGAAGGCTTGGCAAAGCCTGCACCTACAACCACACAGATATACCGTACAAGTATCAGCGCCAAGCCCCAAAAAACCCGAGGCTCCCTTTAAGAACGCTCCCTTAAAAGAAAAACACCCTATGCTCCACTCCAGCCTTCCACATGCTTCCGAGTCTAAGCAAGGTACTCAGGGTCATTTGGGCCGCCGGGCCGTAATGATGGAGACCAGGGTGTGCTTCGAAGAGAGCTCGGACTGCAGAACCTCGAACCTCGGCGCAGAAGGGAGGGCTTGGACTCGTATAAACCTCTGCTGTCGAGGGTTTCGGGTAAGGATGTTCCCTACGTCCTTTCATAGGGATTTGTAGTACCTCCTATTTTTGTCCTAATTAAGGACTGTTAGTATAAGGGGGAACCTCTCAAGTTTCGAGTTTGAGAGGAAGCATGCCTTTGATACTCCTTCCCGACGAAGCTCATTCGGCGATCAAGGCTTCAATTAACTACGCCCCGTTACGCCCATGAAGGGCTGCGCCAAATAAGCCCAACAATATCCAGCGCTTTGGCACGGCTTTTTTCAACAAGTTGAGGGACGGAGGGGCTGGATTCTGGGATTAATTGGTCCTCTGACTCTCAGAGGCCGCATGGGGTACGACAAAGGCAGTTGGGCAGGTAAGAAAATACGACCTGCTGAGCCTCGTCATCCCTCTCCCATCCCCAGATACTGGGTAATTGCAAACACTCCCTAAACTGAAATCTGTTCCCTAAACCGCAACCGACAGGAACACTAAACTAATTTGTCTACAGGCCCTTTAACTCTACTTTGCCGCCAAGGAACAGGGCCTCCGGCGCATGCAGGTCCGAATTCTTCCACCGCCAGTATGAATTCAGCGGGTTCCGCGGACCGCGCTGGATCCTGATTGTTTCAAGAGAGAGAGAGCGCGCGCGCGCGGGTGTGTGTGTGTGTGTGAGCCACTTGCAGGTGTCGGAAGTGGGTATCAGTGTTCATGCCAGAAGCTCGCAAAAAAGCACAAACATGTCGGTGGCCAGGATTCTGCATCTTGGGATCCATGCGGCGCCGGCGCCACTTCCCTGACAGCTTCGGTGCTGCTTCGCTTTACGCTTGATACCACTAAATCCGAAGGATCGGGATAGCATGTGGTTTTTTGAAGGGTCCAGCCCATGATGCGGTCTGCTGTCCTTCGTCAAGCTTCTCGTACGACCGGATATGGACTTCCCCGGTCAGAACCTTCGCTGCTTTGGGCCGGCAGGTTGCGAGGCACCATGCTTGGCACTGAGAGTGTGTCTTGGAGTGTCAAGCTAAGATTGGTACCAAGTGCTATTGGCAAACTGTGCTACCCACTCCCAGATCGGCCCTCCATGCAGCTATCCCATTCAACATTAATCACTTCCCCCTTTTATTGAATATCCCCCTATTTATAAAAGCACTTTCCGGAAAATCCTGCCGAAACCGACCCCGCCTTTTGAAACCTATTCCGAATTAGGGGGCCCAAAACCCGCTGCAAAGCCTCTGTCTGACCTTGCTGTGCTGCGTGAGCTGGTCTCTCTCTCTCTCTCTCTCTCTGTGCCTAGACCCTAAACCCTGTAGACCCCAAACGTGACATTTGGATAAACACATCCCCCCCCAAAAAAAACACATTTCGAGTTTCTATTGGCGTGGGGGTGGGGGGGGGTCCCCCGTTTAATCTTAGGGGGATGGGATGAAACGCCCAGGACCATGATCTGGGTTTCCCGACTCCGAAACGCCTAAAGCCACAAAATGGAACAGACCCAACTCCCAGCTCCCAGCTCCTGCCAGAAGTAACATACATGGCCACTCTGCCAACAATTCTCCCAAGTGCACCCCCAACCCTTGCTCCGAAGGATGGCTCTTCGAAACATCAAAAACGACTGCCTCTGAGCCAAGGGCACTTCAGACAATTGAATCTAAATTCTGGGCCTCTTTGCAACATCTTGCAACCCGAGTGCGCAAGGAGCGTGCTTGAAATAGGGAACCCAAAAGGCTCAAACTGCAGCTCCGCCGCCCGTAGGGCCGAAGGATGTAGAGTCAATGTGGAAGAGGTCCAGGAGTCAGGGCACTTCGCTACCAGTAGTGATAGGACAGGTTTTTTAGGGCAATACCGATTTACCAGGGCTTTAGAGACAGTTTCAGGCTGAGAGCACTTAGGCCTAATCTTACCGGGATCCTTGGATAGGACTACGAACAGCGTGGTAGGGTTCGACTCTCACAAGAGCGGCAGAGAGCTAGCAAGGCAATCGCTTCGTAGGATTTGTGCATATTTGTGCCGATGGACGGGCACGGATCAGGCGAGGCTGAGAGTTTAACCCAGCACCCATGATATGCCAGTGCTCGCACTGCCGAAGCCTTCGTGTTATGGAAGAGGGAGAACATGCGGAGGTTGGAAGATGGATGCAAGAGAGTTCGACCCTGACACTAGAAAACTGCAGAATATGAATATTGCAATCGGCGTGTCTTCTTCTTAACGATGACATTGAAAAGCTTGTCATGTTTTCTGCAAGGTGTGCCAAAAACACATGTAACAACTATGTCTGGGAGGAGATGAAGAGACAACATAGTGATGGGAAGAGTGAGGGGGGTGGGCGCACGGAAAACTTCAAGGGATGGAAACGAATCGATCTTTAGGGAAGGCTGCGTGATGCTACATGTTGCAAGCAGCAGGAAATCCGACAGCGCAGGTACATTTGCGCAGAGTGGGGCGGGCGGATGAGGATGCCTTCGTCTTATTTGGGCGTGGTACACCCAGTGTTTACACCCACACATACACATGCCCACATGTACCTTGAGGAGTACTGTACTTCCTTACGCCCCAACGCCCCACCCCCCCCCCACCCCCCCCACAAAAAAAAGCCTCACTGCTCTCTCCTTTCAAGGCTTGAAAGACTCCGAGGCACTTGGAAAGCAAAACCGGCGTTGCCACCCGAGAGGGCGCCGTAGCTTCCACAGTATTTGGCAAAGGCCTTCCTGGGTTCAGGAGTTTCGAAGTTTGGATTTATGGTTCCGACTCTCACGCTAGCGGAACGCGGGCGAGGACTCTGGTTCCAGTGGCAAGACGTGAGACAGAACGGTTTACTGTTAGATTTATGGTTCTTCTAGGATCTTTGGGGCTTCTTGTGTCAAAGTCTCAGGAAGTTAGCCGAATCAAGAGATGGCAACGCCTTGGGATTCTGGTTATGGGAAAGTATGCATCTTCCATATAGCCCTTCGTACTCATTCATTTGGTTACTCTGCTTTGGGGTAAAATACGGGGGTAGCTTCCAGTCTGTTTCAAAAGGGTGATGGTCCGGTAACGGTATACGATCTCGCTGAGGTCAGTCGGCTCCCCAAATCCACCATCCCAGCCCACTTCGGGATTCTGAAAAGGTTGAGGAGTTGGTACTTCGGATATTCTTATGGCTCCACAGAACATCTTCAGAACCTGCTCATTTCAAGAACTCAACAACCGACGAGAAAAAACAAACATGCAACGTCTGTGAACCCTCGGTTGGCACCCGTCTTGGACGTGCCGAGAGGCTCCAGCAATTGAACCCAGACTTCTTCCCCCAAAGGCTTGGAGAACGTGGGCGTGGGAGTGCCGCTGCCAGTGTTGCAGGGCACGAACTCATCGATCACCTTGACGCCACTGACACCACGTATCAAAAACGGCAAAGAATAGAAGGCGTCAACGACAGATTTCCTCCAACATCGCTCTGGACTCGTTTTGAAGACTCAATCATCTCGCTGCGACGAGTTGTCAATGCTTTTCAGGGCGAGGGGCAATCTCCACCCAGTCCTCCTTCTCAAGATCGTAGAGACGCACCTGGCGGCATGCACGTCAGGTACAAAACTTGACAACCCCAAGCCCCCAACGGGCGGGTCCCACCCAGGACTGACAATGTACTCAACTTTCCTAACCCACACCCCTGACACCCAAGAGCCCGCATGTCATGCACGTGCCAAATTTTCAAACCTTCAACCTGTACTTCCCGAGGTAGGCTGCGCGCCTCATATTTCCCGTCCTCGGACAGCTGCCTGGCACACGAGGGTCTTGCAGGCTTCGCAAGCTCGTGCATGCTCGTGGCTGTGGTGATCCATGCGAGGGAACCCTCCAATAATTCGAAGAGCAGCCATCTTCGGGATCACCTCTTGGCTGTTTTGAGACCATGAAGACCCTGTAGAGGTTCAAGACTCCAGGCCAACACACCCTGAAGCGTAAACTCTGAGTTCATCCACCCTCATCGTCCCTTTGCTGTCCCCGCCTGGTGTTCGGAAAAAGGTAGCGGATGCGTTGCGGGTGTTCCGCAAGGGCACTGAGGGCCGACAGCAGCCAACAATCTCCGACTTGTCCCTGGAGGATGTCCTTTGCGTCAAGAAAGAACCTTCAACGTTGGTTTCTCAAGATGAATGAAAGAATCCGGAATGGCTCTCAGGAGCTTTGAGTCTTCCGAAATCCAGATGAGGGAAGGGTCTTGGAGGCTCTGTGAAGAGCCAGGGCGCTCTTGTTTTTATGAGTCCTCAGGTAGGTGAGTTCGCAAGGTCTTTCGTCACCCCATAGTGCACGGAGAAGATGTGTCTAAAGAAGGCGACTGGCTTACATCATAGCCACATCTGTTTAAGGACTCTTTGAAGACTTACGCAAGCATACTTCAGTCCTGTGGACGGATCTGATCGAACAAGCACGCCGTCTCGGGGTCTCCAAGAAGCCGTGCCCTCACCCACGTGTCCTTGGTGGAAGAGACGGATATATACCCTGCAACCCCAAGCCCGAAGGTGCTTGGCTTAAAGATTTTGAGGCCACCCTCATTGGCCTCTCAAATACCTCCCGCTGCCTGCAAGCGACTGGCTTGCCCACAGACCAACAGGTTCCGCTGGTCCTGTGCTTTCTTGCAGCTGAAGGTTTCAGATCGTTACCTTTTACTCCCTGGCATGGATGCCACAGGGTATGCTTGGGGAGCTTCTGGCTGGGGTCCCGATACTGGACTCGTCGCAGGGGAAGTCGGCATCCCGGAAGGCATTGGGGTCATCCTGAGCAAGACGGCGTTCTTTCTACAAGCAGAATGCTGAGGCCGCATCCTGAGTTGTAGCCTTGAAGGCTATACAATACATATGGAATGGGTGGAATCATGGCACAGGACAGGGCAGACGGAGTCGGGGGGACGGTCCTAGACAGCCTAGGCCGGAAGCAAAGCTCAAGCACCTCACATATCCAGGATCCCAAACTTCATGCTTGCAACAACATGCAAAGAACGAGCGCCCGGGCCTCTGCAGCAATGTACTTCGAACGGGAGCTCCAGCGCGAGTTCCACCTTGCAACCAGGCCAACAGTATCCCGAGGGCGTCATTCGCCGTCCCTGCCAACACCCTTGCTCATGCACTCTTCAGGATCATGTCCTCGGCCCTGCTGTATCTGCCCTTGTCTGCTGGGTCATTTTTGCACTTGTGACAAAACGGCTCACGTCGCACCACAAAGTAGCGGATTCTACTTTCAAGGAGGGTGGCCTCGCCCAGATTGAGTACCAGCAAGAACAAGCCAAAGTCCGCTGGCAAGCATACTGCTTTGCCAATTTCCAGGTTAGATTGCAAAGCCAATTAGTCAGCTTGATGGAGCCACTGCCCGTCCCTCCTGTCTGCAAACCGAGAACAGCATAAGGCCTCCAGGCACCATGGGCGTCCACTTTGGCAATAACTGTCTTCGTGATCTGCTCCTCGGCTCGTTCGTCAACCCTTGCGGCTTCTTCGAAATAAACTCCGAAACCCAAGGCATGAGTGCAAGAACCGTTGTAGGTTGAACCTGCCTTCTCAACACCGGTTCCAGTGTTTGAGTTTCGTTTTTTGTGGAAATATGGAACAGCACGTGCCACGACATTTCCCTACTTCCTACTTGAGCCTGAACTGAAGCCTTCATCATACCCTGAAGTCCACACCACTCACCTCATGTCCGGACACAACTTTTCAGAAGCTTTACATACTGATGCAGGAGATGTCTCACCAGGCTCGAGCAAGAAGGTCGCCGGGTTGCCCTCCGGAAAAGACACGTTCCTTTGCTTGAGGCGTTCAATCATCCTGACCCGGTACCCTAAACCCTAAACCCTTGACCCTAAACCACTTGAAACTCAGTGAGTGCCCAAAAACCCTCATCATTGAAGCTGGGTGGCGTGCAGTTGTTGAAGGTGAGGGAGAAGGATTTTCCTGAAGTCTTCGGAAAAAGGAGAGACATCTTTACACGTGCCTATAGGGTCCCTTGAGATTTGGTTGCAAGTTCTTATCCTTGGAGTCTGGAAACCCCCGCCCACCGGCACATTTAGGCACTCATGGCCATAGATATGAGGCACAGGGGTAAGGAAATTACAATTGGAACCCCCCCCCCCCCCCCCGTCTCTCCGCACAAAATCCAGGACTGCAGTCGAGTCGTCCACATTTGTGGGGATTGGTTATGGTAGCGTCAACGCCGGTCTTCGTCTGCGTGTAGGCCACCTCCCACAGTGCCGGGCACATGGGCCCTACAGAAATGGTCCCAGCAGGGAGCTGGGGAGCAACAGCGTTTAGGGTTTAGGGTTTAGGGTGTGGAACATCGTTGCAAGGCTGCGTCCTGCCTTGGGGGCACTGGCCGTCAACCAGGAAATAAACTCATGGACTTGGATCACGCCGTCCTTGTTCCTCAAAGCCAGGCGTGCCAAGGGCTGCACTTCTACATAAAGGCTCCGCGACACTCCTTGATGCTGAGGACTAGTTGAATTCAGGCAGCACTCAGTACAGCAGTTCCGTATTCTCAGCACATACGCGCATCCTGGCACGGCCTACCGACATTGTAGTTTACTCTCAACAACGTGTCGTTCTGTGCTGCAGATTTGCTCTTGTTCTGTGATAATGGCTGAGAATTTGGGAGTCTACCTGCCTTTGTCTTCGCGAGAGGCCACACGTGCCCGCAAGTGTCGGTATTGCTCGAAGTTAATCCCCTTTGCGGTGGAGCTCCGGGTCCTTGTTGCAGGCCTAGCGCCTCAAGCGTCTCAAGGATTGTGCAGGTTGTGTGGCAGCAACAGGAGGGCGCAGAACTGCAGGCTGGGTCGGCTAAGTGTTTAGTCCGTTCAAGCTGCTCACAGGCGGCTATAGTGGGCACGGCACCGCATAACTAGCCCAAGCCAACCCACATCCTCCGTCCCAGCACTTGACTATTTTACGCGTGTGCGGACAAGGCTCCCACGCAGGAAGATAAAGTTTTGATTGCAGAACCACAAGAAACGGCACTACCAACTCTGCAGGACGATATAACTTAACCATTATCTTACGCCATCTTATACGGCCTTTGCTATAGGGCCCTGGAATGCGATGCATGTGTAATCTCAGCTCCTGAATTCCTCCGCAGGCCCCCGGGCCCGAACCGTGCCGAGCTTCGAATCAGCCGTCTCAAACAGCTCAGATACGTCCTTCCAAGGAAGCAGGAATCAGTAGGAGTAGCATACAAAGCCTGAACGGCCCAATCACCAACTGAGTGTCAAGATGGACCATCCTTCACAAATAGACTCGCACTAGAGCTCGAGCAGAAAGTCCTTCTTCCCAAGGCCGAGCTTCTCGAAGAGTAGCTTCATCTCCTTCCCAGTGAGATGCGTGTGTGCAGCCGTAGCGGATACATATAACTACAATAAACTAATACTACAATAATCCTACAATAATACTACAGTACTACTACAATGCTCAACACTACTACAACACTAACGCAGTGGAAGTCGTTTGTTGTCGTAACAGAGGCAGCAGTTTTGCAGTCGTAGTAGTAGTAGTAGTAGTAGTAGTAGTAGTAGTAGTAGTAGTAGTAGTAGTAGTAGTAGTAGTAGTAGTAGTAGTAGTAGTAGTAGTAGTAGTAGTAGTAGTAGTAGTAGTAGTAGTACTGGTTGTCTCGTGGTTGTATGTGAGGTGTGTTCAGCCGCAGTAAACGGGAGTTTTTTTGAGCAAATGCTGGCCACCATATAGATAGATAGATAGATATTTATATTTATGAGTGTGTATATATATATATATATAGATCTTTCATTGTAGCTAGTGCTGGGGTTGAAGGACAGCAACGCACAAGCGCTCGGAGTGTGTGACAGACGATACAGGCCGGATGCTGTGGGCCGAATGCGACTCCGAGGTCCCCAGGTGGCGTAAGAGACCAAACTGGCTCATCGAACTGTCTGATTTGAGGTATTCCATGCGAATCTTGATGTCTCTGGCGTGAGCTGCCAGACGATTTCTGCAAAATTGTCACACCCAAATGCCGATGGACTCGAACACGCAAACAGTACACCCGCAACTCTGAGGCCATGGTATCTGGGATTTTTGGGGCTTTGGGTCCAGATGTCCCCTACAACCTGCCAAGGAACCGCTGTGTTCGGAAGCCTCCAAATCGTCCATTGTCCATTGCTTGCGCGTAATTCTGCCCCAGAACCTACTCTTTGTTGATAGGGATAAGGTAGACCTGTCTTTTCGCATGCCCCCCCCCCCCCCCCTCACCCTCACCCCCCGGCTGCAGTCCCCTGGCGGTCAAGACTTTCTGCCAGGCCAGGTGAGGGTGCAAAAGCTTGCATTCGCTTGCATTCTGCCCCTTACCCAAAGCAGCACAAGCTCTGTGCTATCTTAAACGGCGGTACATGCTTTGGATCCATGCAGGCAATACCTTTGCAGTGTCTCCTCCTCCTGCAGGACGCCATCTCCCGAAGTGTCGAACTTTGCCTGCACAGGAGACATGCTTCATGCTTCGTAGCGTGGAGCAGCCGGGCACTCTAAACACAAATTGGCCCACTCCTATAACCTTACGCCTTATACAGTGTGTGTGAGCCCCGTGAACTTATGCGGATGCCCAGAATGCCGCAAGAGACTTCACTCCTTGTGCAGAGCTCTCCAAAAACCAAGGTTTGCTTCTTAAACCTCCCCAGCCAAGATGCGAACAGCTCCTGGAGGCGCCGCGTTGCCATGGCTGCAGGCTTATTTGCCAGGTCACAGTGTTTTTTCAACGCTTTGGTTTTTTTGGGACGTCTTTTTTGAAGCTTTTGTCAATCGTATTTTGAAGTCGAATCACCCAGATCGGGCCCAAAGCTTCTGTGAGAAGCAAGTCTTGACTCCAGGATACCAGGCAGCTTGGACTTCGTTCGAAAGCACTCGCTTGCATCTCCAGACGAAGGTTTCTAGACTTGCGAAACCTTGCTGCTAGAGAGCTCGGAGATGCCACTATGAATCCCATGAACTCTAACCCGCCACAAACCCCTGCGACTTTCACTGAAGCCCCCCGGCTCCACGCGACCGGTCGTCGATGGGAAGCTCCACACAGAACCTTAGCTTTGGTCTCGGGGTCTTCTCCTCAGGTGATGGCGTACTATGTAGAATAGACTACAGACACTGCTACATAGACATACATATATATATATATGTGAGAGGGACCTTTTGGGTCCATTTCACGTATATCACTTGTATGAGGAATTTAATTTATTTACCTATTAATTTCTTTAATTTCTTTAATTTCTGGGGCTCTCTTAGGGAAATAAATGAAATTAAAGAAATTAATAATTTCATTAATTTCTTTAATTTCTGGGCCTCTCTGTGCGAAATTAAAGAAATTAATGAAATTAATTAATTTCTTGAATTTCATTAATTTCTTTAATTTATTTTAATTAGTCCCGTGAGCCGGGGGGGCTCCCCCAATTAATTTCTTTAATTTCTTTAATTTCTGGGCCTCTCTGTGAGAAATTAAAGAAATTAAAGAAATTAATTCCGGTAGTCCTTCGGGCTTGCGAGACTAATTAAAAGAAATTAATGAAATTAAAGAAATTAAAGAAATTAATGAAATTAATTAATTTCTTTAATTTCTTTAATTTCTGGGCCTCTCTGTGAGAAAATAAAGAAATTAAAGAAATTAATTAATTTCATTAATTTCTTTAATTTCTGGGCCTCCCTGTGAGAAATTAAAGAAATTAAAGAAATTAATTAATTTCATTAATTTCTTTAATTTCTGGGCCTCTCTGTGCGAAATTAAAGAATTTAAAGAAATTCATTAATTTCTTTAATTTCATTAATTTCTTTAATTTATTTTAATTAGTCCCGTGAGCCGGGGGGGCTACCCCAATTAATTTCTTTAATTTCTTTAATTTCTGGGCCTCTCTATGAGAAATTAAAGAAATTAAAGAAATTAATTCAGGTAGCCCTTCGGGCTTGCGAGACTAATTAAAAGAAATTAAAGAAATTAAAGAAATTAAAGAAATTAATGAAATTAATTAATTGCTTTAATTTCTTTAATTTCTGGGCCTCTCTGTGAGAAATTAAAGAAATTAAAGAAATTAATTAATTTCATTAATTTCTTTAATTTCCGGGCCTCTCTGTGAGAAATTAAAGAAATTAAAGAAACTAAATAATTTCATTAATTTCTTTAATTTCTGGGCCTCTCTGTGCGAAATTAAAGAAATTAAAGAAATTAATTAATTTCTTTAATTTCATTAATTTCATTAATTTCTTTAATTTATTTTAATTAGTCCCGTGAGCCGGGGGGCCCCCCCCAATTAATTTCTTTAATTTCTTGAATTTCTGGGCCTCTCTGTGAGAAATTAAAGAAATTAAAGAAATTAATTCCGGTAGCCCTTCGGGTTTGCGAGACTAAATAAAAGAAATTAAAGAAATTAAAGAAATTAAAGAAATTAAAGAAATTAAAGAAATTAATGAAATTAGTTAATTTCTTTAATTTCTTTAATTTCTTTAATTTCTGGGCCTCTCTGTGAGAAATTAAAGAAATTAAAGAAATTAATTAATTTCATTAATTTCTTTAATTTCTGGGCCTCTCTGTGAGAAATTAAAGAAATTAAAGAAATTGATTAATTTCATTAATTTCTTTAATTTCTGGGCCTCTCTGTGCGAAATTAAAGAAATTAAAGAAATTAATTAATTTCTTTAATTTCATTAATTTCATTAATTTCTTTAATTTATTTTAATTAGTCCCGTGAGCCGGGGGGCCCCCCCCAATTAATTTCTTTAATTTCTTTAATTTCTGTGCCTCTCTGTGAGAAATTAAAGAAATTAAAGAAATTAATTAATTTCATTAATTTCTTTAATTTCTGGGCCTCTCTGTGAGAAATTAAAGAAATTAAAGAAATTAAAGAAATTAATTAATTTCATTAATTTCTTTAATTTCTGGGCCTCTCTGTGCGAAATTAAAGAAATTAAAGAAATTAATTAATTTCTTTAATTTCATTAATTTCTTTAATTTATTTAATTTATTTTAATTAGTCCCGTGAGCCGGGGGGGCTACCCCAATTAATTTCTTTAATTTCTGGGCCTCTCTGTGAGAAATTAAAGAAATTAAAGAAATTAATTCCGGTAGCCCTTCGGGCTTGCGAGACTAGTTAAAAGAAATTAATGAAATTAAAGAAATTAAAGAAATTAATGAAATTAATTAATTTCTTTAATTTCTTTAAATTCTGGGCCTCTCTATGAGAAATTAAAGAAATTAAAGAAATTAATTAATTTCATTAATTTCTTTAATTTCTGGGCCTCTCTGTGCGAAATTAAAGAAATTAAAGAAATCAATCAATTTCATTAATTTCTTTAATTTCTGGGCCTCTCTGTGCGAAATTAAAGAAATTAAAGAAATTAATTAATTTCTTTAATTTCATTAATTTCATTAATTTCTTTAATTTATTTAAATTAGTCCCGTGAGCCGGGGGGGCTCCCCCAATTAATTTCTTTAATTTCTTTAATTTCTTTAGTTTATGGGCATCTCTGTGCGAAATTAAAGAAATTAAAGAAATAGATTCCGGTAGCCCTTCGGGCTTGCGAGACTAGTTAAAAGAAATTAAAGAAATTAAAGAAATTAAAGAAATTAATGAAATTAGTTAATTTCTTTAATTTCTCGAATTTCTGGGCCTCTATGTGAGAAATTAAAGAAATTAATTAATTTCATTAATTTCTTTAATTTCTGGGCCTCTCTGAAATTAATTTCTGTAGTTTCTCTACTTTCAGAGCCTATCTGTGAGAAATCAAAGAAACTAAATACATTAATCAATTTCTTTTATTTGATCAATTTCATTAATTTCTTTTATTTAAACTAATCCCGTGAGCCGGGTAATTAATTTTTGTAATTTCTTTATTTTCTAGGCCTCTCTGTGAGAAATTTAAGAAATTAACAAAAAACATCCGGTAGCCGCGTGGGGTTGCGAGACTAACTAAAAGAAATTAAAGAAAGTAATGAAATTAATTAATTTCTCTGGCTTTTTAATTGCTAAGCCTCTCTGTGAGAAATTAGAGAAATTCAAGCAATTAACCATCCTCTTTAATTTCTTGATTTTCTGGGCCTCTTTAAGCCTTCGTGCATCTTTATCGCGTTCCCTTTTCTATTCCCTTACTTTCGCGCTGAAACCATCACCCTTTCTTTCCCTTAATTTCCCCATTCATCCCTTAAAGAAAGGGACGCCTTCAAGATGTAGGAAGGATTTTTCATATAGTTGTGTGTACAATGGCTTGGTACTAGCGCTCTAATTTTCAAGAAGCTGTTTTGCATGTAATGTGTGTCACGAGTTTGCTACGTTCATAGGCAGACTATGCAAATACACCCTCTCTAAACAAACCATTTTCCCTAAACCCTGAACCCTAAACTCTAAACCCTAAACCCTAAACGCTCAAAGACTCCTACGGCCTCCAGGCCCTCTAAGAATCCCAAGTTCTCTAAGACTCCCAAGCCCCCTACACTTCCTAAGGCCCCGAAGCTCCCCAGGCCCCCTGAGCCCGCCAAGCCTCCTTAAGTCCCGTAAGCTCCCTAAGCTGTCGAAGCCCCCTTACTCCCTAAACAATTTCGCAGAGCAAGCAAACAGAATTTCAGGACTACAAGCAATCGGTCATGAGCTGTCCTGCAGGCAACGCCTCCACCCAAAGCGTAACTTAAAATTTCCCTGACGTTTCCCTGTTGCGCTTTTTTTTGGCCCCGATTGTTTCAGGGAAGTTTTCCCTTGAAACCCCTGTGTAGTGCTAGAATTTCCCCTCGAATCCCTTTAAGGCTTCGTGTATCTGTACCGCGTTCCCTTTTCTATTCCCTTACTTTCGTGCTGAAACCATCGCCCTTTCTTTACCTTAATTTCCCCAGTCATCCCTTAAAGAAAGGGACGCCTTCAAGATGTAGGAAGGATTTTTCATATAGTTGTGTGTACAATGGCTTGGTACTAGCGCTCTAATTTTCAAGAAGCTGTTTTGCAAGTAATGTGTGTCACGAGTTTGCTACGTTCATAGGCAGACGATGTAAATACACCCTCTCTAAACAAACCATTTCCCCTAAACCCTGAACCCTAAACTCTAAACCCTAAACCCTAAACGCTCAAAGACTCCTACGGCCTCCAGGCCCTCTAAGAATCCCAAGTTCTCTAAGACTCCCAAGCCCCCTACACTTCCTAAGGCCCCGAAGCTCCCCAGGCCCCCTGAGCCCGCCAAGCCTCCTTAAGTCCCGTAAGCTCCCTAAGCTGTCGAAGCCCCCTTACTCCCTAAACAATTTCGCAGAGCAAGCAGACAGCAAGTGAAGTTCATACAGTTCAAGTCCGTTTACTTCAGATCTATTGAATGCCAATGAAGTGTATAGAGTTGACCACAAGTGCATGGCATTCAACTCAACACACTTGAGTGCCATGCAGTTCGAGTGCATACACGTCCAGTATACAAGTGCAGTATACAAGTGAGTATGCAACCATATAAGTGCATACACTTAAGTGCATACACTTGTCCAAGTGCATACAGTTCGAGCGCACAGAGTCAAGTGCATAGACTCAACGCACCGCAAATCGATGCTTTCGGGCCAATCGTCTTCTAGTTTAAATTAGTCCCGTGAGCCGGGTGGGCTCCCCCAATTAATTTCTTTAATTTCTTTAATTTCTGGGTCTCTCTGTGAGAAATTAAAGAAATTAAAGAAATAAAAAAGAAATTAAAGAAATTAATTCAGGCAGCCGTTCGG